GAATTAGGAAACAAGAAGAAAGTTATATTGTTAAAGTTACTTTTAACATTTTATATAGTTTGTTATAAAGTTTTATTTAGTGAATAGATGATTTTTTAAATGAAATATTTATTTAATATTTATTATACGATGAATTAGGAAACAAGAAGAAAGTTATATTGTTAATGTTACTTTTAACATTTTATATAGTTTGTTATAAAGTTTTATTTAGTGAATAGATGATCTTAACTAGGTAACATTCTTACCATTATTATCAATAACAAATGAACAAGTTCAAGGTTTAATCGGAAAATTCGTAATCGATTATATTGACGATAAATAAATGAATAACGTAAATCGATTAATGTGTATTATAAATATAATATGGACGATTAAAAATTTAATGCCTAGTGATGATGATAATAAATAGAATAACTAATTATAGTATCTAACACGAGAAGGATGTTCGATAATCGTGGTCTCATTTAGTCAAGATAATATTTATTAATATCATTTATTATTATAATAAATTACGAATAATTATAAACGCGTCATTTAACCAGAATTTTAATATAAATGTTAATATAATATATTTCATTAAAAAAACTATCTCTTTTCGATTAGTATTAATATAAATATAAATGTTATTATATTTAAACGTTTAAAACGTGATGATAATGATAATAATAGAAATAATTAGAAGTGTAATATTGTAAGATTTAAAAATCAAACAAAATCTCAACAACGATGTTACACACATCGTATTTATTTATTCGTAATTGTACATTACTGTAAGGAAGTACAGAAATAACCCCCCATTATTACTTTGTCGGTGAACATTATTGAGATAATATAAAATACTCGAGAATTCTACATAATTTTATATTATTTATCACTCATTATACTAGTAATAGCATACGATAGTTGTCTTTCAAACAATGCCAACAGAATTGTCTAACGTGTTGAAATAAATTCATTTGTTAAATGTTCAAATGAATTTTTACAAATAAACTTATTCTCTTTGCTAAAAGATAAACTAAGTGGGGGGAACGAAAGTATGGTTTTTTGAGAATCGATATCATAAATATTATTTTACTATTCATTATATTATCAATAATTTTCAATTATTTTTAAGAAATTAAAGATAGTATATATTATGTTCTACCATTTGTCATATTTTTCATATATATTATACTATATTAAATACTATTATATTACTAATATTATTAATATAATAATAAATACTAATTAATTAAATTTAAATTT